TTATTCACAAAACCGTGCTGGTTATGGACTATTTTACCGTTCACAAATGCTTTAATTTTACTGTTCACAATACTTTCAAACACCTTCGCCATTGTTGGTATTATGACAACAGGTCTGTAGTTCGATGCAATGCTCTTTTTGCCAGATTTAAAAATCGGCACAATTCTCGAATTTTTCAACATACTCGGCACTATTCCCGCTTGTAATGACTTATTGAACAACTTTGATAACGGTTGAGCGAGTGAATACGCGCAATTTTTGAGTAATTTCGGTGAAATGCCATCAGGGCCAGCTCCTTTGTTCACATTGATCGAAAGCAGTGCCTTCAATACATCAGCCTCGTTCAGTTCGATGTCAAACGCATTATCACCGCATTCACTTAGCAAGTTATCCAAATCAATGTCATCACTCGGTGTGTATTGGCTTTCGAAGAAATCCGCAAATAACTCCGCTTTCGATGTGTCACTACTGGCTGCATGGTTGTTGTACTCAATAATCGATGGTATGTCATTGCGTTTGCGCCTGTCGTTCACAAACCTCCAAAAATGTTTCGGGTTTGATTTAATGTCCGATTGTATGCGGCTGATGTATGACTGAAACAGCTGACCCTGTAATGCTACGAAGGAATCAGTGATAGCCATGTAATCGGCGAAATCGTTTGTGATTTTTGAGCGCCCGTGTGCCTTTCTTCTTCGGTTATTCAAGTTTTTCAACTGTTTATTGTACCACGGTGGATCTGTGCTCTTTTCAACGGTGACTTTTGGGACGAATTTGTCCATTGCTTCGTGTACAACATTCTCAAACATCCGAAACGAATTTACAATGTCGTCCTGCTGCTCAATTTCCGTAGAAATATCTCTCCCAACAAAGAATTCATTCATCGCCACAAAATCAGCCGCTTCATACTTGTAAAACTCAGTTACGTCATTCAATTCACTCTCATTTTCATCAATTGTGATTTCAACTTCGATCGCTTTGTGCCACACATCGGTTTCAATCAACGGTGTCAACGACTCCGCAAGCGATAAATCATAGAATTTGTTTGTGAATACGAGATCCAAAACATTGCCGGCAGCATTTTCGAGATTGCACATTTGATGGAAACCGCAACCGAGCATTGTATCAATGACAGCTACGCCACCTTCCGTTGTCACGTTCATCGGCAGGTAGTAATCACCGTCTTCCGCCTTAATCCACTTGACTCCCGACTGATTAAAATCACCACACACAATTACCGTGTCATTATCATCATATTTAATCTTCGTCACTGTCTCGGCAAATTCTAAAAATTTCTCTGTTTCATGCACAGAACGAATGTAAACAGCAAAAATGTAAATATTGCACTTCGTCAGCCTTACTTTAACACAAACATATTCAAGTCTGCTATTTTCCGTCAAAATTATCTTTTCAATGTGAAATTTTGAGTCTATCGCTACTAAAACTCCACCTCCGTCACTTCTTTCACTGGTCGAAACTGTACGATCACCGCGATACACATTGTATTTTCTACTAAAATGCTCTATGTTTGTAATGCTCTCTGTGAGCCAAGTCTCGAAAAATGCTATTATGTGAAATGGGCACGATTCTGTCGCTAAACGTACCTCATCAAGTTTATCACGAATGGAATGAGCGTTTTGAATGAACATATATAAATCAGTTGGAATGGAAATTTCACTTAAACTTGCGCATCTTTCTCGGTTTCCATCAATTCCACTGAAAGTGACCGGTTTTTTTCACTCAATTTCGGAGATTCATTCAATTTCGGGGAGAAATCACCAAGCGTTTTGTTTTTCAAAAACTCGCGCACCATTACTTGCTCTGGCCACATATCAGCATCAAGGAGGTTTTTTTTGCCGCTCTGCATTCAAGAATTTATTTTCAAGTTTTTTTCAGATTTTTGGAACGTTTTTCAACTTTTCTTTGCTACAAGGTGATAATTCAATGTTAAATTTCATCGGGAAAAGTGAAATTCATAGCAATTAACCAAAATCTACGGAAGAAAACTGAATTGTTTTGTTTTGTTTTGCCGCTTGAACCAATAACAAATAAACATAACCACAACATGTCAACAACACAACCACACTGCTGCGGAAAACACGATTGTAAAGGATTGAGATACAACGGATGGTCACTAAATTGCCGATTTTGCAAGGAAAAAATAATTGTGGAATGTTTGCGAAATCGAGACGAGCTGAGAACAAAAGAGCTGCTGTACGTTTTCGGATTGATGTCGAAAAAACAAACGGATAGTGGTGGTTTCAAATGGGAAGTGCTTGAAAATGATCCGAATAGAACGGCAGCATTCTCCCAAATGTTCAACGTCGATTCACCATTCGGAATTACATGTGAATCGTGTGTGGAAAAAATTGAAATGCTACTAGGCACTCACAATGATGATAACACCGGAGCTGGCCACTCAATGCCACATCAAAATGTATTAAACATGCAACAAATGAGTGACTTAATTGCCGAATCGGTTGAGAAGTAAATAAGTGACAAACTGAATGAAAACATGACACATTTGAGCGATACAGAACCATCTAATCGCAAAATCAACATGAGTACATATCGCAAAACACTGCCTGTATGTGATGAAAATGGTCTCTACTCATTATACATTTCCAAGGCTGATAAATCCGTTACAACTGAGGAAATGATTAATTACGTGATGGAAAAAACAGATCTGAACAATAGTGTTTTCAAAATTGAAATGCTACCCAGTAGAGGCAACCGAAAAACATACACCGCATTCAAGTTGACGACGCTTTCACCTGAAGTCTGTGAAAAAATCATGTCTTCCACCAATTGGTCAACAGAATTTCGTGTAAGAGCGTTTGAAAAAAAATATCGAATGCGTAAAAGCAAAAAACGGCAAAATCTGCGCTCTGAAATACGGCAGGAATTGAAACGGTCAAATCGAAGTGTAAACAATCATATCCGGAACAATAACAACAACAACAATGAGCGTCGAGGCATGAATAATCAACACAAACGCCGACGCGAGAATCGATCATATGAATTTGTCTACAATAATCGAAATCGAAATCGTAATAATCACAACGGTCGATATAATTATGAACCTCGCCATCATGAACATCGTGTAAATCATGCGTATCGTGAACAATTGCCACAGACCAATATGCCGTATCCTTTTTGGTACCAAATGCCATATTTCTACCCTCCACCTCAGCAACAGGTTCATTCTCAGCTCACTATGCCACCATTCCATCCGCACTATACACACGCACAACATACACCACATCAAACATTCCAACCGTTCAACGTTCAAAATCACAATGGAATGTAAGTCACACAATGCTTGATGACGTTTTGATATACTGTAATAATTTGAACGGCGTGAAAAGTATAGACGAATCAGTTGATTTTTTGTCCGAAGTTTTAGCAGCGATTTTTAAAATTTACATGTTGAGCGAAACGCACCTCAACGCAGATGTTTCTTCATCAGAGATATTTCCGCCGAACTTCGAAGTATTCAGATGCGACAGATCACCTGCCACTGAACAGTTTCAGCGTGTCAAGAGAAAAGGCTGGGGAGGTGTTCTTATCGCAATCGACAAAACATTCAATCCGCAATGTATCGGAACAGCTGAACATCTTGGTGCTGAACAAGTATGGGCCAAAGTAAAATGCAACGGCAGAAACTTGATACTGATCCAAGTTTACATAAGACCAGATTCACCGATGGAAGTTTATAAAGCCCATATGAATGCATTGCGTGAAGTGGCATCAAAAGCAAATCAAAATGATGTACTGCTTGTGTCAGGTGATTTCAATTTGCCCAATCTGATTTGGTACACATGCAGCACCAATGAAGCTCATGATCCTCATATCAATCTTGAGCCGAATCCAGAAGTAGCGGTTGCAGTAAATGTAGTGAGCGAAAAAGAAAAAATTGTCATCGATACTTGCCACGAGCTGGGTTTGTTTCAAATATGTACTCACCACAATGAAAACAAACGAATGTTGGATTTGCTATGGACGAATGAGCCGAACATGTTCACGTGCAATATGAGCAAAAGTAAAATAGCAAAAAATGAAACACACCATCAGGCACTCGAAGTCATCATCCATGACAAAATTGACACCAAATCTGATGATATGATTACATACAAAGACTTCAAACATGCTGACTACACATCGATCAATAATTTTTTTGATAATGCCAACTGGAACAATGTTTTCAACGGAATGGATTTAAACGATGCAATTGATCAGTTTTACGCAATAGTCAACACTGCAATTGATACGACTGTTGAAATGAGAACGAAGAAACACCAAATTCACCCGAAGTGGTTTGATAATGAACTGATCAATTTGAAGAACAGAGTAAATACATTGCACAAAATGAAGAAGTTTGATTCTACAAACGAGACGTGTAAGGATCATGCTGA